GCTACAAAGAATAAATGGTAGAGGCCCTCCAGCAGGCTCTTTTGACAGCTGAACAGGGTCAGAGTGGAGAAAAGCACCGCAAAGACAACAGGAAAGGGAACCGGAGAGAAAGGCTGGATGGAGTACCAGGACAACAAAGCACTGTAGCCCTCTGCAAACCTCAGCAGGGCTGTAAAACCATAGAAAGTAGCAGCCAGTATGTCCAAAGATCGATAAAAGAGGACACACAGGCTTAGCTGGAAGACTCCAGCTGTCCACAGCATGGGGACAAGTCCAACAGAGAGTGTAGGGACAACACGTAACAGGGGACAGGCCAACACAGAGGCAGACAACAAGTTCATCACCAAACCTACACTTGCTACATCACTGCACCTCTGGTTCTGGTTTGTTTTCAGCTCAGCTTTCAGCTTCAGGGCAACTCCTGGGGGTCTCACTGTACCCTGAGTGATTGTGGACAGAAGACGTCCAAATCCAAAGTGAACACACACCAGACAGACAAGAAGGTAGTTTGCAGCAGTGGCAGACTTTCCAAACCCTGCAGCACACAGGTCAGTGATTTGATGGGCAGAAGCTAAAGAAATGCAGACGGCTATGAGGAACAGAACCTGTTTCTTCACATAGAGTGCAACACTGCCTATGATGAACAAGGCTAGAGTTAACGGTGCCAGACCAGGAACCAGTGAGGCTTTCAGGTCTGTGGGCTGCAGCACCCCCTGTCCTACCAGAATGTAGATCAGACCTGAGCCACACCACAGAGCAGAGACAGTGAGACACAGAGTGGAAAACAGCTGGGCGTGGGACAGTCTGTGACGGACACCTAGGAGGGAGAGACGGTCCAGTTAGCAGGCTGGAAACAGGAAGTAAATCACATTGGTCCGCAGAAACTCCTTCAAAACAAACCTGCATAAGCTACAACAGACCTGGGCATTTTACGGCCCGCGGGCCACATTCGGCCCTTTGGTTGACTTTGACCGGCCCGCGTAAGGTTAATTGGAAATTACAAAATAAATGTATTTTCTCATTTTACCTCATGCATGGGCTAAGGCTGCATTGCTTTTATTTTGAAGTTGTTTTTTACGTGCACAATGACGCAATACGTATAGCAACAAGTGCCCGCGGTTGACATGGTGATTGTAGCCCCAGAAATGTCCGCTCATGCAAAAAAAAAAAAAAAAAGTAAGAAAGATGCCAAATACAGGATTTTCAACAAAAATTGGACTGCTAAGTATTTTTTTTACTGAAGTCGGAGGCAAAGCCGTGTGTTTGGTTTGCGGGGAGGAGATTGCCGTGTTTAAGGACTACAATTTGAGTCGGCATTACGACAAGAAACACTCGGAAAAGTACAAGAACTTATCTGATGCTGAGAGGGCACGGACATCCGAAGCTTTGCTAGCAAAGTTGCAAAAGCAGCAAGGCTGTTTTACAAAGCTTCACACATCCAGGGATGCAGCAACCAGGACCAGCTTTGTGATACCCCACACAATAGCTAAAAACAGCAAGCCGTTTTCAGAGGGAGAGTTTGTCAAAGAGTGCATGGTGGACTCCGCAGCACTAATATGCCCTGAAAAAAAAGGCGCATTTGAGCAAATCCCGCTGTCCAGGCGAACCGTGACCAGGAGGATCGAGGCCATTGCGGGGAACCTGGAGCTTCAGCTGCAACATGAAGTGGCAAGTTTTGACTTTTTCTCATTGGCCTTAGACGAGAGCTGTGATGTCCGGGGGATAACGGAGCTCACAGAGGAGCTGGCAGCAATGCGGTCGATGAAAGGGACAATGACAGGGAGTGATCTTTTTACAGAGGTAAATGCGTGCATGGACACTCTGGGATTGAAATGGGAGAGCCTGTCAGGTGTCACAACTGACGGTTGTCCAAATCTTACAGGGAAAAATGTCGGACTTTTGAAACGCATGCAAGATAAAGTGACAGAAATCGATGCAGATCAAAAATAGGTGTTTTTGCATTGAATTATACACCAACATGTGTTGTGCAAGTCAGTGCTAAAAATCAACCATGTTACTGATGTTGTTACTAAAATAATAAACTTCATCAGGGCACGGGCAATGAATCACAGACAGTGTGTGGCTCTTTTGGAGGACTCCACACAGCTGTCAGATGGCTCAGCCTGGGGAAAGTGCTGAAGAGGGTTTGGGACTTGAAAGCAGAGATTCAGGATCTCTGCTGGGTTTCTACTCTTCTCTTAAGGAGGAGAACTTCCCAAACCTGAGGAGACATGCTCAGAAGATGTTGGTTTTCTTCGGCTCTACCTACATTTGTGAACAAACATTTTCAATGATGAAGTTTACAAAATCCAGGTAAAGATCCTCTCTCACTGATGATCATTTGTCAGCTGTGCTTCGCTTCTCCACCTCAGACATTCAACCTGACTTTGATGCACTTGCTAAAGCCCAGCAGAGACTAGATTTCTCTCACTGAATAAGAAAAAAATCGCTTAAAATCACAAAATAAGGTGTTTGGACCACAAATGTAGGCAACTAGCAGTGAACTGGGACACTTTTTTTGAAACCTCTTTCTCAAGATCACAGTTCAGTGATTTTATTTTACAGACAATACTGTGTGTCTGTAGAATGCTAAGAACCTCTTTCCAACAATATTTGAAACTCAAAATGTGTTTTGGAGTGAATGTGACTAAAACTGTTAACTAATATAAGTCACAAATGTTTAACAAAAAACAAATGCGCACTTTGTTTACCATTGCCTTGGAAAATTTGAATAAATCCCATTTTTGTAAGCCAACCTCACTTTTTCCTTTTTGCTCATTTATAACATATAGTCTACTCTTACCAGCTTGAAAAAACGATGGTATTTACTGCTTTTTATAAAGAAATACCATTAATATTATGCATAATTGACTTCAGCCTTTTGGTCTGGCCCTCCACAATATTTTCTATTTCTCATGTGGCCCCATGGAAAAAATAATTGCCCACCCCTGAGCTACAAGGACTGTGATGATGAGGAGCAAAACCCCCAGGGCAGTGTGGGGATAAGCTGACCGAGGATATCGGGCTAATACTCACAGTTCAGTGCAAACTAGATCTATTAAGCCAAAAAACCAGGCTATAAACACATTTATTTCTTCTGTGAAACTGGCATTATTAACATGGAATTTGCTCACTTCTGGTGCACACACACACACACACACACACACACACACACACACACACACACACACACACACACACACACACACACACACGCAAACACACACACACACACACACACACACACACGCACACGCACACACACATGTATGGGGTGGATGGCTTTCTGTTAAGGGCCATTCAGTCCCTTTACCAGAGGAGCGTGAGTTTGGTCCGCATAGCCGGTAGTAAGTCGGACCTGTTCCCGGTGAGGGTTGGACTCCGCCAGGGCTGCCCTTTGTCACCGGTTCTGTTCATTACCTTTATGGACAGAATTTCTAGGCGCAGCCGTGGTGTGGAGTGTGTCGAGTTTGGTGGCAGGAGAATCTCGTCTCTGCTTTTTGTGGATGATGTGGTCCTCCTAGCTTCATCCAGCTCTGACCTTCAGCTCTTGCTGGGTAGGTTCGCAGCCGAGTGGGAAACGCCTGGGATGAGGATCAGCACCTCCAAATCTGAGACCATGGTTCTCGACTGGAAAAGGGTGGCTTGCCAACTCCGAGTCGGGAGAGAGGTCCTACCTCAAGTGGAGGAGTTTAAGTATCTTGGGGTCTTTTGAGTGAGGGTAGGAGGGATCGGAGATCGACAGGCGGATTGGTTCGGCATCTGCAGTGATGCGGACGCTGAGCCAATCTGTCGTGGGGAAGAGGGAGCTGAGCCAGAAAGCCAGGCTCTCGATTTACCGGTCGATCTACGTCCCAATCCTCACCTATGGTCATGAGCTTTGGGTAATGACCGAAAGAACGAGATCGCGGATACAAGCGGCCAAAATGAGTTTCCTCCGTAGGGTGGCCGGGCTCAGCCTTAGAGATAGGGTGATGAGCTTGGACATTTGGGAGGGACTCGGAGTAGAACCGCTGCTCCTCCGGATCGAAAGGAGTCAGTTGAGGTGGTTTTGGTATCTGGTCAGGATGCCTCCTGTATGCCTCCCTGGGGAGGTGTTTCGATCCTGCCGGCAGGAGGCCCCCGGGTCGACCCAGGACATGTTGGAGAGGTTACATCTCCAATCAGGTCCGGGAACGCCTTGGGGTCCTGCAGGAGGGGCTGGTGGAGGTGGTCGGGGAGAGGACGGTCTGGAGCTCCCTAGATGGAATGCTGCCCCCGCGACCCGGACCCGGATAACTGGAGGAAGACGACGACGACGATATTTTTACATCTAAGGTTTTTTTTCCAGTTCCCTCCCTGCAATCCCAAAACATGTATTTTAGGGTAATTAGGAGACGAATTTAATCTATGAACACATCTCAGTGTTATCCTGTTGTTCAGGTGTTATTCGTCTCTCTCCTGGTTAATACTGGTATGAGCTCCGTGACTCTGAACTGGGCAAAGTAAGGACAGAAAATAGCTCTGAACATTTTTCACATTAAACTGGTCAGTGAGTCATTTGTAAGTTTCATAATTAAACAGCCTGGAAGTGTACGCCACCACATTTAAAACAGCTTTTATTTTCAGTTAAAATTAAGTCACATTTAGAAAAGTAATAATAAAAAATTATACAATAAATAAAATATATTAATATAATGTATTTTGTAAAATTGATTTAACTTTCTGTAAAGTTTAGATACACCTTCAAACAACAGGTAAGTTCAGTCCATTTCAAATGAAGACTTTTTAAATTTTATTTAGTTTCAGTTGTTGGCTTTTTATGACATCATGAGTACTTTTTTTACATACATGTACTTTGTATTGAATTAAAGACAGATACATAAACAAATACTATTTTAAGTACATTAAACAGCTTTTAAATGTCACTGAGATCATCTAATATAAAGTATATGTGTTTCACTAGGCTCTGTGTGCTCATGCTAAAACACCAGCAGTCATGAATAAATACAGAGGTTAACAAAGAAATTATAATTTACTTGAACACATGAATGTAATGCCTCCTAACCCCCTGGAAAACGTTACATTTTACTTTCCACATCTAAGCATGTTCACGTCTTATTTACGTTATGAAACAAGATCCACTATAAATGTAAGAAAGTGCTTTTATGTTTGTAACAAAGCTACTTTTTCAACCACATAAAACAGCAGGGTTGTTTATATGTTTCAGAGACAATTCAGTTCATCATCATAGTTAGTAACATAAATCAATGAGATGGTGATAAACACAGAAAAGACTTTGATGAACGACTGCTGCCAGCCACATGGTTGATCCTTCATGAGCTTTTGTTGGAGAAATGATTGAACTGGTCTTCTCCACAAGCCAACATTGTTGCATGAAACTTCCTGGGTCGATCAGGATCCTAGCAGCAGAACCAATCAGAAACATGATTATATAAAGAAGGTCAGACGTTCTAAAATACCCTGAAGAGATTAGTCTCACCTGAATGGGGTTTGCACAGGTGGGAACATAACGGATCACAAAGCCACAGCGCCTCCTCCGGGACGTGTTGGGATCACTTGCATGGACAAGAAATCCATCATGAATCTGTGGGGAAAAAAAGTCATTACGAATCAAGTTGTAATTGTCTTTAGAACTATTTTAGATTACAGCAAAAACAACTCACAGACATCTGTCCAGCTTTCAGAGGACAGAACACAGTCTCCTCCACCTGAACCAGCTCCTCTGGGATCTCCTGGTTGACCGACAGCATGTTTCCAGAGCGGGTGGCTTGGCGATGGGGTAGCATGCCAGAGCAGTGGCTTCCTACAGTGAAAAAGCTGATCATGAGACAAAGCACTAACTAGGACTGTGGGTTAAGCTATAGCTTCAGACGAAGTACCTGGAATAACCTGAAGGGTTCCGTTTTCCTTCTGTGAGTCATCAAGAGCGAGCCACGCAGAGAGGACCGGACCACCAGCAATTCCCCAATACCTGTAAAACCAAAGGCTTACACTGAGAATCAGTGAAGACACTTTTTACATTTATTTTTTCACTGGAGTCACCGGGACCTCATATCCTGATGCCAGGCGACGTAAGGAAGACCGTTCTCCCCATCAGACTTGGTCGGACTTCCTTCATTCTCCAGGATGTTGGCTGGTTTGAGAATCGGGTATTTACAGATGAAACGAGAGTCCAGCAGGAGGACGTCTGGGCCCAGGACAGCTTGGATCACTTGCAGGATACGGGGATGTTTGGTCAGGCTCATCACCCAGGGATACTGGAGGTGAACGTTGTGGAGGCTGTACTGAGTGTACTCTTTACCTGCATAGACAGTTTTGTTAGAAAATCAGTTTGGGACAAATGGGTCAGACAGAACAAAATGTACTAAATAAATCCTGAATATTTGCAGCATGTGGAATTCTTTGCAGCATGTCTGATTTGTACATCCTCCTCACCAAATTCATCCTCCAGCTTAGCAAAGGCGTCTCTGGCTTCCCTCAGCTCCATCTCATTCAGCACGGACAGAGGAGACAGGAAACCCTGCTGGTTGTTGCTCTGCTGGAGTTCAGCCATCTTTGTTAGAGCGTCTCACTGCTGAAGCCTCTGAACTGTTTAGATAACTAATCAGACAAAGAAAAGATTAGTTTTGGAAACATTCATTCAGTCTTTATCTCATAAATGTAACAATAAATCCTGCCATGCCCATTTTTCCCAACTGGTTTTTGAGAAAAGACCAATAAAACACTCACTACCTCCCTGAATTTAATTATAACGGAAAAGTTCCTAAATTGTTTTAAATCTTTCCTGTCATTTAATTATAACACATGCACAAAATAAAAACTGTTGTTCCTTTTAAAAAGAAAACATGATAAAACTATAGAAATGAGTATTTTCAGGTGCAAATCTAAACTTTTCTTCTAGGCTACAGTGACAGCAGAAAACAGCTGGTTCTGTCCGTACCTGTCTGCTCAGTCTTTTCTCGTGTTCTGAGTCTGGACTCAAACACACGAGGCTCAGATTTTATACTCGCCGGCATCCTCTGGAAACGCCCGCTCTTATGCCAGCTGGAGTCATGTCACATATTTCCAGTAAGACAGAATCGAAGAGGAGAATCCGTGCAGTGATGTATCTATTGTTACAACATTCTGGTGTGTGGAGCCTATTCAAACATTTTTGTTCTCTCAGGTGACGAGAAATCTTTAGTTTTAATCAGCTGTGTTCTTTCCGAGTGTTGACTTCCCGCCCTTTTTCTGTACAAGGAAGCAAGGGGCTTGTACGTTTGCTTTGGTCAGAAGAACTAAGGATGACATCATCAGAAACTTGTCTGAATGATGACAGCACACAGGGCAGAACAATAATCAGATGAGATTATTATCAGATGTTGCTCAGGAGAAAATAAAGTGTTTTTTATGGAGAAGTGAAAATAAAACAAAACAAATGTGGGAAAGACTAAAGTAACTGGGAAATGACTTTCTTCCTTTCCTGTCCAGAGCTTGGGTGAACGTTCAAACCCTGCAGCTACGTCTTCACATGAGTGCCTTTAAACAGACGCCTCAGACTTTACCAAGAGACCAAATATTAATGTTATGCTTTTCTTTTCAGAAGTGTTGTTAGACTTGAGTTCAACTCAAGCCTGAAGGATTATCCAGTAATTTACAGGCAACAACAATCAGTAGAACACCAGTCAGATGGAACAGAACTTACAAACATAAATCTGACACAATTAGTTAGTTTGTTCAGGTAAAGATGTAAAAGAACTTTTCAGCTGCTTGTTTCAGCTGTGAGATTAGACGATAGGATCAATGATAAAACAGTTTGTCATGGACTCCATGGAAACTTTCAGAGAATCCACAAATAGAGGCTTTCAGATACTTTTGTTACTGACAGATGTTTGTGAGTTTAGAAAAGAAACAGATGACAGCGTGTCCGACAATTTTGTTTTTCATCTGACAATATTAGAAGCTGTCAGTGATGTCTGAGATGCTTTTACAAACACTGTATAACTTCTGGGGAGCCCAGTTATAGGGGTGAGGGGTGTGCTGTTTTGCCCTCGCCCCCCAAAATGCCTTGAAACGGCCCTGGGTTTGTCTAAGTTTTGAACGTGATCTGAATTGTATCAGATGTATAAATATTACATGTGTGTAACTTATTGTTTTATACATGTAAAAACGTGTAGTGGAGATAAATCTACCTACATTTTACTTTTCAGCACTTTGCTTTGTTTTCTTGTTTTTATTGAACTATTTCCTGTTCTGTCTGTCTCTCATCTTCGATCTTCCTTTAAACTCTCCAGAAAAACTGCTGCCTGGATTCTTACTTTTTCACCTCATCAGTTACTTTTGAACTAAGCAGATCAAAGGGATCTCCTGACCGCAAAGTGTAGTGCACGTTTCGATGCTGCGTCAGTGAGGTGAAATCACCGCAGCACACGATGAGTGGAGTGCGTCAGAAACGATTAAAAGACAGAATACCAGAGGATTTAAACAGATACGAACGATCATGTGTTAATAATAAAGTTTTGTTGCGCCACTTTGTGAATGTATCGTGGGCCGGACGCAGCGCGCGCACCAACGATCAGCACTCTGCGTCCTCTCTGCTCAACAGAATCCCGCTACGCTGAGAGTCCATAAATATTGTAATAAAGGTAGAAACTGGATCTTTCCCTGAAAGTCGATCCCTGCTCCTGGATGAAAAACAGGACACTTTATTCCATGTAGGAAACCCTGCCGGACGTCCCGGACAGAGAGTGAAAAGTGGACATGTCCAGGGAAAGAGGACGTATGGTCACCCTATTTAGTACGTCATCCTGTGGAGCTTTTCTGATCTGATGGATCACCACAAAAGCCTGAGAGATGGTGGACAGAATCAGCCCAAACTCACAGTTGAAGTTCAGGGGAAGGGCAGAAACATGGAGACACAATATAAATTGTTATCACATTTTTGGCTGTTTCCCTTTGGTTATTCCTTTTACACAGTATTTTGCAAATGCAAAGGACTTCACATCTTTTTTAGCCCATGTTTAACCCTGAAGTTTCCATTGATATTAACTAGGCCTGATCAAATAAAAATGTTTTAAGTCTAGTCTTAAAAGTAGACAAGGTGTCTGCCTTACGGACTAAAGCCGGGAGCTGGTTCCACAGGAGAGGAGCCTGATGGCTAAAAGATCTGCCTCCCATCCTATTTTTAGATATTCTTGGAATCACCAGTAAACCTGCAGTCTGAAAGCAAAGAGCTCGGTTAGGAATGTATGGAACATTCAGGTCACTGATGTATGATGGAGCTTTATATGTGAGAAGGAGGATCTTAAAATCTATTCTGAATTTAACAGGCAGCCAATGTAGGGAAGCTAACACAGGAGAGATATGATCTCTCTTTTTAATTCTCATCAGAACTCTAGCTGCAGCATTTTGGACAAGCTGAATACTTTTAACTACATTCTCTGGACTTCCTGAGAGTAATGAATTACAGTAATCCAGTCTTGATGTAATAAATGCATGAACTAGTTTTTCAGCATCACTCCTGGAAAGGATGCATCTAATCTTAGCAATATTCCAAAGGTGAAAAAAGGAAATCCTACAAACCAGTTTAACGTGAGAGTCCTGGTTGAAGACACTAAGATTCCTTACTTTGTTCTCCGAGACTAATTTAATGCTGTTCAGGTCAGATGATTGGCTAAACAATTTCCTTTTCTGAAGTTCCGGTCCAAAAATGAGAACTTCAGTCTTGATTTAAAAGCAGAAAGTTTAGAGTTATCCAATTTTTTATGTAACAGGAAGAAACCTGCAAAGGATCCTGGAGCCATCCGCCATGAACCACTTGGGATTGAGAAGACAGAGCACATGCACACACACACACACACACACGGGTGACTTTATGACCATGTGTTTTACACATTTAGAACACTTTATTATGTACACATTTTCAGAAAAGGTTGCAGGAAACACATTTTCATAGATTAACAATATTAATATAAAAACAGGCATTAAACAATAAATATGACTCACACACACGAGTCATGTTTTTATCTGAATTTTGTTACGATAAAAACAGAATTCAATACCAAAAGACAATCTTGAACAATAGAGGAAACATCAGCTTGAGGTGAACTCCAGAGGAAAAACATGACAATGTGTTTATTTCCAGTCTACACTAAGAAGATCATTTAAGAACATTAATATAAAAATAATATTATTCTTATTTCTATGCTGAAGGATTGTTGCCTTATTGTTCAGTGTAATTGATCACTGCAGCTGTGAGAGAAGAGCTCCACAATCATCCAGCCTGTCCAGCTTCTCCACCACCTCCACCAGCCGCTCCACCTTCTCTGATGGCAGCACCACCTCTGCGTTGCTTCTGAACTTCTTGCTCAGGCTCTCGTTTGTCAGCGGGTTGCGCCAGTGGCCGTAGAAGGTGTCACAGCGGCCCTTCAGGATGTCTCCTCCAACTAGAGTCACCTGGACTTCTCCGTACATGCGGTTGAAATTGGCGGGGTTGTCCTCAGGATGCTCCATGCGAACACGGCTCAGCAGGAAATGCAGCTCTGGGCGGCTCATGGCGGGCGGGCTGAAGGACTGCACAGTCACCTCACCGTCCAGCAGAGCGCTGCAGGCGTTAAACTGGAAGGAGTGGCGTGCCTCGTGCTCTGACTCGGGAAAAGGCCTGTTGATGTATTTAGACTGGGGGACTCTGAGCAGGATGTCCTGGACCTGATGTGGGGACACCTGTCCTAGACCATGTCCCACAAGGAGCTCATGGACCGCAGCTGCAGCATCAGCTACCCAGTGCATCCCCAGATGGGCAGGAAAACGCTTAAAAGCCATGTCCTGCTCCTCTAACAGGAACACATGTCCACCATCATCAGGTGACTCTAAAGGCTGAGGAACATAATCTTCATAAAAGGCGCTGAAGCCCGCCACTCCTGCAACAGCATCCAAGACCAGAGGACTGGCCTCTAGGCCTCTGGAGGCCAGCAGAGCAGCTTCAAGCCCCAAACGAGAGGCGTTGCCGATGTGAAGGGGCTTGGACTGAGTGGCAGCATTAGCCATCGGAGCTCCAGCTAGAGAAGCTGCTATAGCCAAGGCATGACTGCACTGAGACGGATCCAGAGACAGGAGACGAGAACAGGCTGCTGCACTTCCCATAGGACCCACCACAGTGGGAGGATGGAACCTGTTCACACACACACACACACACACACACACACACACACACACACACACACACACACACACACACACACACACACACACACACACAGTTCAGTTAGGACATTTATTCTGTTGTAACTGAAACAATCACTGATCTGCATCACCACTTAAGAACGTTTCTATTGGTTGAATCTTTAGAACAAGATGAATTGATTTGACTCGTTTCAGGTCACCTGAGTTTCTAAAACACCCACCAGATGAAGGGTTTGGTTTGTGCTAATTCTGTTAACGTTACACCAAGAGCCCCTGCTGTTCCTACAGTAAGCATCATTACACTGACATCACTAAAACAGCCTCTTACACCTCAGTGCTGAGATCAGCACAGTCAAACAAGGACGTCTTTAAACGAACGTGTTCATGAAGATCGTGCTAAAACCAGACTTTCTGGTTCAAGCTTGACTTGTGCTGTGAGGCACTGACCTCTTGGGAATGCTGCGTGCTTCATTAGAGAACCTCATCAGACGGCCCTGGATCTCAATGCCGACATTGAAGGCCAGTAAGAAGTCCAGACCGCTTGGTTTGCTGTTAGCCGGCATCATGTCACTGAGAGCAAACAAAGCTGGGAGAACAGCTCCTGAGGGATGAGTGGCTGGATGCCACGTGTCGTCAAAGTCCATGGAATGAGTCTGGAAGCAACCAGAGTTTGTGTCTCATCATACTGAAGCTGAAAGGAGTCAGAATAATAACTTTTTCTGTGAGGGTCATTACTAGATCAGAACCCAGCTATGAACTCCTTGCCTGTGCCGTGTCTGAATGATCCACTTCTTTATGATTTTTTTTTCTGAAGTGAACACTGACATGATTTCTGTTCCTGGTGTGTTTTCAAAAGAAAAATGACTTTCATTCCTAAATCAGGCCATCGAGGGGGAAGAAAGTAGCTTCTTTGGAAATGTTTGATGGGAAACTTTAAGGCCAGCTCAGCTGATTTTATTTCTATATCCTAACCCTGTGGTCTTTGGGAGCCACGCTGCACCAACAGCTGAGAAAAGCTGTTTATACAAAATGTTTCCACTGATGTTTATGTGGTTATTTATATATGGTTGTTTTCCACTTATGTTTCTCACCGCTACTCCATTAACGAAAGCTGCCAGTGTTGGGGAGAGTCTGATCCCTCTGCGTCCGTACACAGAGCTGATGTGATCCGGAGCATACATGTGCTAAGAACAAACACAGAAACAACCCTACATTCACTCATCTGTTCTGGACATATTTGGGTTGGACCTGACTCAGACTTTCACTTTGCCTCACCTGGCAGAACTGAAGAGCCAGCTCAAACACATCTGTCCTGCTCCCTATCAGTCCGACCCCGATGCTGTCCAGCACCATCCTTTTGCTGCGATGGAGCACAACCGGAGACAAATGCTGAGGCTTTATTTCACTGATGAACTTCCCAAAACTGGATGTGACCGTATCTTCTGGGGCTGGGTGCTTCTGGACTGCAGGAATGAAAAGATAAAAGTTGTTTAATAAAGGTTATTAATTAAGGTTATTATTATTATTTTTAATCAAAGTCAGCATATCTGTTTACCCTCCACTGCAGTGTTATGCAGTCTTCTGGCAGCCCGCACTGGTCTGATGGTTTTCTTTGGGACAAAACATAAATCAGAACAAAGCATTTCAGTTATTTTTCACATCTCAGGATGACTACAGGCTGATGAGTTCCTGCATTTACTTGTTCACGTCTTTAATCTAATGTTTGTGTTTGAAAGAGCCAGTGTAGAGGTGTAACAGGTGTTTCCCAGCATGAGTGTTCTCCTCAACAATTAGCAGGAGTTATTTTATAGTTCCCTGCCTTGGCCGCACTACAAACCTCTACTTTTAGATATTTTTATGACTTCTTTATTTGAAAAGGACTTAAAACCATCACTTTTAGAGTCTGAAAACTGACTAAAAGCATAAATATGTGTGTAATCTTACCTGTAGCGTGGAGAACATGACTTCAACTTTCTGTCACAATGATCTTGTTTCTTGTTTCTCTTGGATGCAGCAGCTGAGCAGTGAAGGATGCTGATGCTTTTGTGGCTGAAAATCCACCTGCCTTATATAGTCCAGGACTTACAATGACCGGAAACACCAAAGGAGCAGGAAGGGCAGGTTCCTTTTGCAATCCTGCATCACATCAGAATGAGGCTTTTCCACCCGGGTCATTATCTGTGGTGTAACGTTCACCATCATCAATAGCCTTGAGGGGGAGGAAGGAGAAAGAAGGAGGAAAAGCCACTTTTGTGTAAAGTGAAAGGCAGTGATGTCACCTGTAAGTATGCTGCTGTGTGACAGAGTGGGGAATTCTCAGTAACTCCTCCTTTACACAAACAGATCATATTTAAGGCAAACCTTCGTCCCTCCTTCAGCACAACTCAGCTTTCCATCAGTCTGAACAACTTCAACAGGTAAAACTTTGCTCTTTATTTAATTGCTAACAGGAGTAAATATTTTGTTTCTGCGTGTCACCCATCAAAGATCCTTAAACCTATAGCTAGATTATTATATACTCTGCTTTGTAGATTGAATCAGACCTAAATCTGCATAAAGGATGCTCCCTGACAAGAGTTTATTTATAAATACTAAAACTATTATTGCAATATCCTGTAGTTTTTCAACAATATGAAAATAACAGTAATGTTAGGGGTATTATTCTATTGATAAAATTGTTTTCTTTTAGAATAAATTCTTCCTCTTCAGAGAGCCTGTTAGAGGAGCGTCGTAATAAATGACTTTTACATTAGTTACATGACAAGAGTGGCTCAGCCTACTTATGACAGGCAAGGAACGTTTTATATTATATTATATTATATTATATTATATTATATTATATTATATTATATTATATTGTATTATATTATATTATACAGTCATATTAAAATTCATATATAAATGTTGTTGTTGAGGATTACCATTTTAGACTTTTATCATATGTTACCTGTACTGACTGGATTGTCTACAGAAACACCATGGCAGCCTCAAACGGTTTTCCTGCCAGTTTCTATGGAGAACCAGGAGTGTTAGGAATGTTATCCAATGGGATCAGTGCATTCCTTGTACTTCTACAGAACTTCAGCACAGCTCACACTGGCATTAAACCAGTTGGAGTGGAGAACATACTTGCAGGTAAAACTCTTGACATAAACACAAATATCTATTCATGTATAAACCTGTGAAGGTGGCTTACAGCAATTTCTAACACTTCTTCCAGGTGTTCATCTCATCCTGATTGGTGGTTTGTGCCAGCTGGTGGCTGGACTGCTCTCCTTTAGAAAGTACGATCACCTGAGTGGCACTGCCTTCATCGGCTACGCTGCCCTTTGGGGTAGCTATGGGGCGACCAGAATCTACTATGGTGCTTTATTTAACAATCAGACTATACCATCAGTGTCAGAGCACATGTTCAATGGTTCAACCACCAACATGATGGTCAACACTTCTCTTCAAAACTCAACACAGTGCCACTTATGTGTGTCCATAGAAGAGTCAGCCATTGCTGGTCTGATCCCTTATATCCTTCTGTCCTTTATCCTGGCATTTTGCTCTGCCACGGTCAACTACATCATGCCTTTTGTTTTTGGAGCCATCACGGCCACTTTGATCTTTGAAGCAGCAGCTCTGGTGACAGGCCCTTGGGCTCTGGTGGTCTCTGGGGTTCTGGAGCTGCTCATTTTGATCTTTGCCATCTATGGTTCAGCTGCTCTACTCATCAAAGGGCTGACTCAACGTCTGGTTCTTAAAGGCTTTGGGACCCCCCTCTTTAATGTTCTCCTGCTAGGAACCACCAACTCAACAGGTGCTCAGAAACCTGGTCAAGAGAAGAAGAAGAACACAAAATATGCAGAGCCCATGGCCTTGGGATTCTTCTGTGACTCTATTGCTCCCTTCATCGTTGCCTTCTACAGCTTTGGGTACATGAAATCGTTTGGTTTAGGAGTTGCATGGGTATCAATCATCTCAGTCGCCCAGCTGTTCTCCAGCTACTACGCTCATTTGCGCCAGGATAGCTACCACACTACAAAATTTGGGATTCATGCCATGTATTGGCTGATCAAGGCTTGGGATGAGTTTGTGGCATCTGCCCTGATTGTGGAGCACAGTCAAGTTGTTGCTGGTAGGGAAGCCATGGTGGGAGACTGGTTCTTTGTGGTGGCCGGCTTGGTGCTCTGTGTGGGAAGCCTGAACATGGACACTCTGGAGCTGATCCACAACTTGCTCTTTGTTCTGCTCACAGTCTCAACAATCCCCCAGATCCCCCTGCAGGGTTACTACATCTTCTTTGGTGTAGCCTGCTCTCTCTTCACTGCAGTCTCAGTCTACGGTACCTTCTCACGCCTCATAAACACCATCGCAGAGAAGTCTCTAATCCCTGTGGGACCACAGCCGGTCTCCTCCGAGCAGCTGAAGAGAGCTCTGATGTGTAGAAGGTCTCAACAGGGAGAACAAAAAGAGCTGCCCAACAGTGACCAGGCCTCAGATGCTCTGTTTTATCTCACCAACGGGGTTGCAGCACTTTCAGCTCTTCATTCAGAAGTGTCAAGTGGGAACCCTTCATTCCTTCATCTGACTGTCCCCTGGGTCCTCATCTCTGGAGGCATCATTCAGACCTATGTCAGCAGGCTACAAGTCACCGGAGAGGGCCGGTTTGGATCAGTCATCTCATCCATCTACGTGGTTGTATGGGCAACTTGGACGTGGTTTCGATTTGCAGGTATGTCAGCATAAAGTATGAGCAAAATACATTTTTTCTGACTGATTTGAACAATATTCTCATCAGGAGTTATTGTTCTACAGGTTTTCAGCTTCAGCTCCCCGTCCAGGCAGCCTATGGATTCACAGCTGGAGGCGTTGCTTTACTGGTCATTAATGCCTTCCTCATGCTGATTGGTAAGGTCTAGTATCTGCTTTCAGTGCTGGAAATCACAATTTTTATTCATTCATAATTTTGTACTTTTGTTTCTTCTATTAGCTGCTTATAGGAACGTGGTTCTGTTGTTTCTAACAACAATCATGGAGGTTGTTCTTGTCTGCTTCCTTCTCTCCACCCTGCACAGACTTCCATACCAACTTGAAAGTGAGTTAAAACCGCCTGTTATAAACTTTATGTATTTACGATACTGACTCTCATCAGAACAAATAAAGTCTAACATCCAGAAACGATGTATTGCAGTTGCCATGCTTGCATTGGTATCCATCATTTGCTTTTATGGCACCTTGGCTTCACTGATGAACTGCATCTTCTCACAAAGAGTGATCCCAATGGGTCCTCCCATAATAAAGGTAATGACTGAAGTTTAGATTGACCTACCTTTAAGAATCAGCATGAATAATTAATAAAAATGTGTGTGTGTGTTGTTTTAGGAAAAAGTGAAACAGGAAGCTTGTGACGAGCCGTCCTGTCCGGTGGCTAGCTCGCGTCTCACCAGCGGTCTGTTGAAGATAGCTCGACTTCTCGAGGACGGGGGTGTGTGTGGTATTCCCACAGATACTGTGTACGCTCTGGCTGCTTCCTGCAAGAATCCTCAGGCGATAGAAAAAATCTACAACATTAAAGTAAGAAGATAGAGGAGGCTTGTTTAACAGCAATATACATTTTCATGAAGTCACCATCTTGTTGAATTGGACCTTTTGCAGGACAGACCTGCAGAGAAGCCTATATGCATTTGCATCTCCAGTGTGGAACAGCTGGTTGCAGCCAGGCCTCCTTTCAGCCCTCTGCTGTGGGAGTTCATGAGGAATGTGTATCCTGGAGGCATCAGCTGCATTGTCAGCAAAGGAGACTGGCTTTACAGACTAGGTCAGCAGTGTAGAGTGTTTGAATGTTGAGTGGCAGAATTCTGTATCAGTATTCAGTTTTTACGTGAACTTTAACCTCATTTCTGTAGGAGTTGGACCTGCTTATGACCGTGTTGGTACCAGAGACAGCATCATGATCCGTGTCCCAGACCACACCGTGACCTGCCACCTATGTGACATCACTGGACCCCTGGCCATAACATCAGCCAATCCCAGTGGAGAATCAGACAGCACCCACCACAGCATGGTCATTAAGTAAGAGTCTCCTCAAAGAAGTTTAATGCAAACTAACAAACAACACATCTCTAACACTTTTAGCACCATACACTAATTACTGTTTCAAACTGCTTCTTTTGCTGCAGTCGACTGGGACACAAGATCCAAGGAGTACTTTGTGATGGTGACTCGAATGAAGTAGTTGCTTCAACTGTGGTCAACTGCCTGAGGATTGATGAAGGTAAGGGGCCATGATTTCTTCCTACTGGGAATGTTTAAGGTCAAGTTTCTAACTGAAGCTCTTCTAACCTTCGTTCAGGAGTCATCACCATTGTGAGAGAAGGCTGTGTCCCTGCTATCAAAGTCCAACAGATCTTTGACAGACTGAAGAACTCCATGATTTGAGTGTCTCTTAGCGAAGACTGTCTACCTGGCTGATCACCTTCAAGTCAACTTGTCTAACCCAAGCTGTGCTTTGCTTTTCATACTGACAAACAGCAAAAGAGGGAAAAGAAAACTAAAGATGTGTGTTTATATGGATGTAACTTTTGTGTCTTAGTGGATGCATAGATAGATGGCTAATTCAAAAGTCATCTTAAACTGCATGAAGTCCACAATGTTTTGCATTATTTATATATTTATTGTTATATTTATTTTCAAAATATATCAACACAAACACTTTGAATGTGTAAATAAGTATTTATGTTTTTTTAATTTATAATGTTTGAACTCATTGTAAAACAGAATGTCTTTGTGTGGTTTCTGCATTGAAGTGCTCTCATGCATTAATTTATTTGTGCAATAAAACAACTAAAGTTTATTAAGGCTTGCATCTTTAAATAATTACTAAATGTTTTCTAGATGAATGCATTCTCTCCCTCAGTACATCTTTATTCAGATCTTCAGATAAAACAATAACAACAATGGTGTTTAAAAGCTTGACATAAATAGATATATTTTTGAACAATTACTAATTAAGCACTTGACAGCATCTAGTTATTTGTCAGAGGTCATTAGCAGCTCAAGAACTCTGAAACAATTCAACCATCTAACTTTGTTATGAGCTCTTTAAATATGGGGATCCCTTGTTTAATCAATACATTTGCAGTGGTCTCTAGTAGTAATGAAGCCTTGTAAGTCGTACTCTGGGGAAACAGAGCTCAGGAACAGTTTCAGGAAGTAGAAATGAGCCACATCAGAGTTGAGGATTGGCCTGAAGTAGCTAATGCTAACGGTTAGCTTAGACTGTTGGATACCCTAAACCAACAACAGCCTTCCCTGTCGTGAGTCAAGATAGACGAGTCCATGAATGCTACGTGACATTATCTCTCTCTCTGTCTCTCTCTCTCTCTCTGTCTCTGTCTCTCTCTCTCTCTCTCTCTCTCTCTCTCTCTCTCTCTCTCTCTATATATATATATATATATATATATATATATATATATATATATATATATTTATTTATTTATATACATATATATATATATATATATGTATACATATATATATATACACTGTATATGGATGTGTGTATATATATATATATACATATATATATAATCTTTTCTTTTCTTTCTTTGAATATATATATTCACTTCTTTTCCGGCACTCGCAGAGAACAGACGCTTCTCTTTTTGCTCCCTTATCTTTTTTCCCAAGGCTCTTTGTCCTGTCTACCCAAAGAGCGCTTCTCTGCACTTCTTCTGAAAAAAACTTTTATTTATTTATTTTTTATTTTTTTATTTTTTTTACCGTGTCCTGTCTGGCTGTGAAGCAAGCAGAATTGATGTCTGAATGCTGTTGACAAGCCTTACAGATTTACTCTCAGGTGGAGCATCAAAGCATTTGCTTTTAATGTCACGCCTGATACTTAAAACTTTATTGTTACTGTTGTTGAATGCTTGGTAATTCCGACCAGACACGGAGACAGAGGTGAAAGAGAAAGGAAAAGAAAAGGTGTAAGAGGGGTGGGGGGTGGGGGGGGGGGGTTCCACAAAAACAAACCATAATGAACAAGAGTCTGCTTCCAGACCTGCAGAAAAAAGATAAAAAAAAAAACAAAGGGACACAAAAAAAGGGACACAACAACAATACAACAAGATCTACCTATCACTGCGTCAACTTGATTAAAAGAAAAAAATATATATTTATATATAATCAACATTGCTTAACTGAAGAATCACGATAATAAATCACAACACATTAAGTGCCCACCATAGTCTTAAGACCTGTGTTTAACGTGACCAAGCCCATACTTTTGAGAGCACCATGTGAGCACCTGTGTGTGTACACGCGCTGATTTATTTAAGGTTTTTCTATAGGAGCGCCCAACAGAGAGTGTGAGGGACCACAGATCTGCCCCCCAAAGATGCGCAGGAGATGGGGGGTGGGGGGGGGGGGGGGTGGGGGGGGGGGGGGGGGGGGGGCTCCAAGTCCCAGAGATCCAGGCGCTGCACCAGAACACAGGAACCCCAAGGAGACTGGGAAGGCCCCCGCCCCCCTCGAGAGGCACAGAGGATCGCCCCGGGGGGCCACAACCAGCAGCCGGCAGAGTCCCCGGAGATATCAGCGGCAAGCCCACAGGCCCGCCCGCAGCCTCCCACCCCCTAGCCGGCCGAGCCCGGGACCCAGCGACCCGGGACCCAGGGGCGACCACCCCCGCCGGGGACCCAGCAGAGCCCAGGGACCCAGACCCCACCAGGCAGCCACCGGGATCTAACAGGCAGATGCCAAAATCTTAAACCCCCAGACCCGGTTGCCCCGAACACTCAGGCAGACCAAGGCACAAGCCCCCACACCAGGTGTGGCAGGGGGAGGGGGGACAGAGATCTATATCATCAAGAGAAGTTCCAGGAGAGGGGAGGACCCAAAGGCCCCACCTGACATATACAGTCATACACAAACACAGTCACACGCTCCCTCCCTCATGCTCACACATGCACATACAACCCAAGACTTACAAAAATGCACGCCGGACACCCACTCATGCTCCCCATACACACCCTATTCACTCTGGTCCCGGTACTGCTGCACATTGGGTACAACCATCACCGGTAACCAGAGTTTGACCCTTTCTGCTTGGGTGCTGATGAGCAGGCTCCCCCGCCCAACACTGAGCACAGCAACCCACCACCCCAGACCCCAACCAGACGGCCAGATCTCCCTCCTAGCCTCCAACCCCAGGAAGCCTAGCAACAACAGAGGTGGCTAAGACCCCTAGTCTCCCTCCGCTTGCTCCAATATAGTGTTTGTGTGATCATGAGGTGTATTCCATGGCTGTGGTGAGTGGGCAGTGCGGGCATCATCCAGCATATGCCAGCTGATGCCACCGCACCACCCCACTTACACCCTCAGCCATCAGTGTCTAAGTGCAGTTTAAAATTGGAAGTGGGCACCGGCACTCGGGAGGAGGCTGAAATATCCCCCTATCAAATGCTGTTGAATGTGCTCACTCCCAAGGCCCTAAGTGTGTGTTTGTGTGGAATGTCGTCAGTGGAAGTGTATAAGGTGCAAATAAAATTGGGGGGCAGGTTTCCACAGGAATGCGGAAATGGGGTCCATACCCGCACTCCCTGACTTGCCCACCCCCCAAGGTCCTATGTGTATGTTTGTGTGATGATGTGAGGGAGCAGGAGGAGAGAAATATGCGGGGATGGGGAGGAATGGCTGGTTGGGCTTAGCCCTCCAGGGAGCCAGCTCCCCTACTGGCCCCAATAGGCACCTCTGTTGTCAAACTGCCACCCAGGGCATGGAGACCCCAGCCCATCCTGCCAGGGCCCAAAGCAGCAGCATTACAGAGCCTCACGGAGTCCGAGGGCACCAACCCAGCCCCACCCCAGCAGAATATCTATGCCCGTCCCTGCATTTGCACAACTTCCAGAATATATAAGACATGGGACATCCAGGTAAGGTTGGGTCCTCCCCCTCCTGGACCTCCCCCTCCCCTGTGATGGAACGGCAGAGGAGCCAAGGCCTACCTGAGGCCCCCGAACCCGGGCCAGGCACTGCTTGGTGTCCCTGCCTTCTTCCCGGCAGCATACATGTCAGGACCCGACACCCAAGGCCCCGCCCAGATCCCCACACGGGGCCGGCCACCCCCAAACCCCGAGCCCCCAGGCCCCCACCTAGACCTGCCCAGGGACATTGCAGCCGCCAGGCAGTGACCCATGGCCGCCGCCAAGATCCCCAAGAGGCCCTACTCACAACCGCCAGCAGTCCACCCCCCGAGGCAACCCAAGCACCTCCAGAGGGGGGCAACGGCCCCCCAGTCCCAGACACCCCCAGTGAACCCACCTCCAGGCAACATCCGGATACTCCAAACTCAGACCCCACACCCCCCCACCCACACCATCCTGCAGGACAACATCAACGGCCCCCCACCATTGCTATGTGATGGAACCGATCAAAGGAGCCCAGAGAGATTCATCTGAAGTGGAAGCAGAGGCTATATCAAGTGCAATATGATCTAACAAAAGATTTCTATACTGGTTAATGCAGAGACTTTCTCTATTTTTCCAATTCAAAAGGATAGTTTTCTTAGCGATGCATATGGCAGTCAGAACCACGTGAACCAAAGATGTTGCAATTGGGACATCGTCCAGCTTCCCCAGTAAACAAAGAGAGGGGGAAGTTGGGATATGACATTTCAGACATTTTGACAGATCCTCACATACTCTATGTATGTGAGGAAACCCCTATTTTTTAGGAATGAATTTGATAAATTGGTCATTCAACGCAATTGATAAGAATTTTTCAACAATGAGAACGGAGCAGGGGGCTCCCACTTGCCCGCAAAGGACACACCCGGCAGGATATATGATGGATTCCTGAAAATAGTGGAAGATCGTATGCCTCTCCCAGCCGTCCATTGAGGACGTCGTAGACGTGTGGATGTTTGGCCTGATGATCACTGGATTTCTTCTGATTGGAGTGGAACGATGTCTGGTTTTCTGGAAATTTGGGAAGACGGGAGCGATTGGAGGGCGACCCGCACCCACGGAGAGCACCGTCCTTGTGGAGACCTCACAGACTGGGATGCTACTTGAGGTGAATCGCAAGCTGGACAATGTTCTAGCTGCGATACCGAAGTTAGTGTGCAAAATGGATGTCATCTTGGAGAGGGTCACTGGACGGTGTGGAGATGTTTAAAACCTAAATTGGCTTCACTGGAGGACTTGAATGATCAGTTACAGACTGAAGGCAGAGGGGAAAATTATCTCAGCCTGACCAAAACAAAGTCTTGTTATCAGAATCTGACGCTATGGCAGCCTTGAGATGCCAACAACAAACCCCCCACGAAGGAATGCAGACAGATGCTGTGAAAACCCGACCTACCCCCCACCACCACCATCTACCACCATCTACTCGACTAGAGTTCGTCTGATTACCAAAGCTCGCTTCTCAGGTGA